TTCTTGTTCTGTTAGAAGATATTTCCCTGTCATTTGCTCCCCTCTGGACTGCAAAGTGTTTTCCCAGGTGGGTCCAGTGGGGATGGCTGGTTGAACCCAGAGGCTCCATTTTTTAAAAGTAGCCCGAGCCCCTCGTTCTCTGCAGGCAGGCCCTTGAAGCCGTGGCAGGAGCATGCAGGGTCTGCAACTGGTAGGATGGAATAGAAGACTTTGATCTAAGCAGCTGCAGACCTGGGGCAAATCACAGACTGATGTCCCTGAACCTAAAGAGGACATGGAGAGGTCCTTTAAAGGAAAGAGGGACTCCTCAGTCTAAAGCAGTGCTGTTGAAACTGTGGGCCATGAATGCAGGTGAATGCAAGATGACACAGGTACACAAACTGGGGGCTTAGGAAACGTGATGGTGTTCTGACAGGCCAATAGCATGTCTGATGCACCCGATAAAATCAAGAACCCATAGTTTGTATATCATAGCTTTCTGTTCCATTGTTCTGACAATTCCTTTTATCTGATGTCCATGAGCACGGATCGATTCACAATAGACAGGAAGCAAGAACACAGGCCCTCCACCAGCCAGTCTGTCATGTGGGCAGGTCAAGTCACTGACTGGTGAAGCCTGAGTCCCAGGGGTTATTATTTATAATAATTAAAGTAAGGTGACTTCTATAGTATTTTCTGTAGCACTTTCTGGCCTTAAAAGTCCACTTTTCTCCTCTGTGCCCAGAACCAGTGTTGGTTGAAGGCAGAACGGGAATGATGCTTCCATGATACGGATGAGGGGGGAGAACGCATGACTGTGCAGGATCACACAGCCAGGAAGTGAGGAAGCCTGGCTGACAACGGGGCCTCCACCTCCAGCCCTTCAGGGGCTCTTCCTGCTCCCGACAGAGCTGTCCCCAGGAAAGAGCTACTTCCCTCCCCTCCAAAATCCTTAGGGCGAACAGACCCTGGCCCTGCCTGCCAAGGCCTCAGTAAGAGGCCACAACCTTCCTATACCACCCGGGGGACAAGTGAAACAGAGCAATGCCCTGGGTATAACGCCTGCAACATCAGACGGACGCAAAGCGGGTGTTTCTGGCTGCCTTTTCTTCACATCGTAGCCAAGAACACATGTCCTGCACTGCTGCCAGCACACTGCATGCACTTAATAAATTACACGGCCTTTTCTGCACTGCCAAATCTGGCCTCGACAATTTAATCGACATCACAATGAAGCAGTTGTGAAAAGAACCCAATTTCATACAGCGCTTGAGGTGAGCGGCAACTTGTTCTGTGACAGGCACCCCAATACAATCTTTGTTATATAGCAAAGACCTTCCAGGACACCAAAGGGGAACCTCAAAGCAGGACCACACTCCGGACTCAAGCGCTAGCTTTCCTCTTTGGATTTTGGACAAGAATGTAATTATTGTGGTTAATAATTTTAAGTTTATCTTTGGGATTTACCCCCCGCCCCTTCATTATAAAGAAAAATTTGTTTAAAAGGATCCCTGATGTGGAAATAATCTCCTGATGTCTCTTTCTTTGCTGGGTCTACTCTGCTATCTGATGAAGGGACACTGAGTCATGGACCCCAAATCTATAGGACATTGAAAATAAGAAGTCTGGAAATAAAAAGAACAAAAAGGAAACTTTTTCCTCCTCACACGCACACTGACTATGAGGATGAAGTCAGGAAAAGCAAGAAGAAGCATTTGATAGAAGAAAACAAAACAATACAAAAGTTATATCCTTCTGGGTGACAAAAAGAATAAATGTCATATAATATCAGCCTAAGATTAGACGTGGGAGAGAGGTAAGCAGGATTTGGGTCCAGTTCACAATGGGTCAGTCACAGCAATGGGTAAGAAGGGCAGCGTAAGCCCTGCACAGCAACCAAATCTTGTCCACAGGATTCTGCCCCAGACAGGAAACAGGCAGTAGGGCCCCATTCAGAGATGGCAGCCAACACATATTCAAAGCAGCAATCTGCCAATATCTTTGCGTGGAGCACCACTACCTCTTTCCTGTTGAGGTCAAAACTTCGCACACAAGAGATGTGGTTGTTAAATAGCACATGTACTGCCTTTGTTTCCCTTAGTCCTGGCTAAATCGAATCATCTGAAGCCCTGAACGTAAAGGGGCTGTGTATGCTCAGACCCCCAGCTCAGCAGCAGCCCTAGAGGATGCGTGAAGGAGCCAGGTGGCTACAAATCAGGATGGCTGCACATGACTCCAGGGAACTATGCTCACACAGTTCACTGCGTGAGATCAGCCCCGGCCCCAGGATCACAGAAGGTTCAAAGCTGCCTAGGAACACACAACTCACTGGCAGATGAGGAAAACAAGGCCCAAAGTGGAGAAAGCACTTGCTTGATATATGGCTTGTTACTATGTGGCCGACACATCATTGTCATCTTTGGTACACATTTGGGGTACCCATTCTAGTGGACTCTATCGGTTGGATTCTAGTGGAAATGCCTGTTTTCACTGGTAAATATTGTCTGGAAGCACTTTCATTGGTTCTTACAGCACTCATGTGAATTGAGTTCTTATATCTTATCAGAATCAACCCCAGACATCTTCCCACCAGCTCCCTTGCTCATGCACTTGCTCTCTCTCCTCTCTCTTCTCCTCTCCTCTCCTCTCCTCTCTTCTCCTCTCCTCTCCTCTCCTCTTCCCTCCCCTCCCCTCCCCTCCCCTCTCCTCCCCTCCTCTTCTCTTCTCTCTCTCTGACTTTGGCAGCTAACTGGACTGCAGGGAACTCTCCTCTACTCCTTCTCCCCTTGCTATCACCAACCCCTTTATTTGTTTAGCACTGGCTTCATCCTCCCTCCAGCTGCTCAGCCCCCTCATTCATCCTAGACTGCAGGAAAGTGGACAGGAAGATTGTCAGCCCTTTGCAGCTTGGTAACTGCCATCTTACCATGTCCGGGGGGCAGAGGCAGCCAGAGACGCAGCCAGTGCTCATGCATTCCAGGTCGTAGTTTTGGCAGGTTTTGGCACACTCAAGGCCTTCAGCCCGTGGGTTGTCAGCAGGACACACCAGTTTGACCATGGGTGGCCGGCAGGTCAGGCTCCTTTTGCCTAAGGGGGTATGAAAATCAAAGAGGTGACTGAAGCAATGAATGGGTCTATCTGTAGCATTGTCCAGTGGTCTCCTACAGATGGTCACTCTATCCAGGAAACTCCAAGCTGCCCACACCCTGGGAGTCTGTGCTACTGGAGCTTTGGTTGAGTCCAGCCCTATGTCAGTTTCCCTGAGGAGGATGAGGATAGCAGCCTGATATACTTGTCTGAGCTCCTGGCCTTTGCCCCACACTGAAGGTTGCCTCCCTCCACCAGCTTTCCCTGAGGCCTCAACTCCTCATCCTCCTTGATTCTGCATGTAGGTTGCATTGAGCCAGAATACAATGCGGATATTGTCAGACCTAGGCCAAAAAGGATCCCCAGGGGGACCTAACAAGACTAATCCTAAAACAGTTACAACTAATGGAGAAAGAAAAAGTTATTCAGCCACAAAGACTCCAAAGCAATCTTTGCTCAAATTTCATCCTCTCTGAGAGGCTATAGTGGCCCTCTGTTTAAATAACAGTGTCTCCTACCTAACATCCCTTTCCCCCATCTCTTTGTTTTCCTCTAAGACCATATCATCATCTGAGATTTATGGACAGAATATTGAACAACCCAGGAAGCACCAAAAGAAGATGAAAGGCGCACACAGAATCACTGCACCAAAGAGAATTGTCTGACACAGAAGAATTTCAAGAAACAACATATAATATGGCAATGGTAATGAAGGAGGAAGTTCACACTGCTCTGAAGGACTTGGAAAAAAACAAGGCCCCAGTATTTGATGGAATACCAATTGGTGTATTTCAACAATGCTGTGCTAGATGTGTTCACCAGGTTATCCCAAGAAGTGTGGAGGACAACCAACTGGCCAACTGACTGTAAGAGATCCATGCTTATTCCCATTCTAAAAAAAAAAAGGAAATCTGACAGGGTTATCAAAGAAGATCAGTAATGCAAGCAAAATCCTGCTGAAGATTATAAAAAAACTAATGGAACTGTACATTAACAGAGAACTTTCAGAAATACAAGCTGAGTTTAGAAGAGGCCTTAGCACTAGGTACATCATAGCCAATATCAGATGGATCTTAGCTGAAAGCAGGGAGTACCAGAA